AATCGCTTCATATCTTTCTTTCTACGAACCAATTTTTTCTTCTTGTACTATATCTCTATATGCAATCTTCCTCTTATATATTACCACCTTTGACCTAATCACTGCTATGAATCCGGTGTTCATCTTGTTGTGCTGATGCGGTATGGCAACCTGGACCGATGCACATATGTGCCTGGTCCTACGTTGTAGCTGACTGACTGACTTGCAGTTGCCGCTATGTCTGCTTTTAGTGCCTCTGCTGGAATGTTGTCTGGTCCTGCTGCTTTGTAACTCTTGATTTGCCTGATGACCATGCTGATTTCTTCAATTGTTGGTGAGTCAACATTGACTAGGAAGTCCGTGGGTGCTGCTTCGATGTTGGGTGGGTTCAGTGGAGCTGGTCGATTCAAGAGTTCTTTGAAGTGTTCTACCCACCTGTTTTGTTGCTCTTCAATGTTGGTGATTACCTTGCCTTCTTTGCTTTTCACTGGTCGTTCTGGTTTGCGGCGATTTCCAGAGAGTTTCTTTGTCGTGTCATACAGTTGTCTCATGTTTCCTTCTCTTGCAGTCTTTTCCGCCGTCATTATATGTGTCTATGGATTCACTCGAAAAGGATGGTAGTACCTTATGATAAAGCATAGAAAAATTAGCAAATAGTTTAACTGTAGGAAGCCAACTCTAAACCATATATTATCCAACGTCACAAGTTGTTCATGTTCGTTTCTGACGATACAATCGAACCACTTTGGCGTATAAAGATGACAAATTCAGACTGAATAATTCTATCCTAATAATGGAAACACTTCTTACAAAAGATATTGATTAACAGAAAACTAGCGTTTATAAAAATTCAGCTCTGAAGTGAAATTGAAACCAAGGCAATTAGTAATAATAATGACAATTTGTTTATTGACACATTCACAGTGATAATATAGTTTGAACAGTCTTAGTAGGTTAACTCACACTAAATTTAATTAGATTTGTCTGAGTGTTACTTCATTAAATGGTTGAGTCGTAGTCAGAGTATTTAGGAAAGACATTTGGCACTGAATAACCTTATATTTCATCGCAAACCTTATCTCGAATGACTTAAAAAATTATTCACAATAGTATCTACAATTATATATTTAGAAAAGTATTAGTCCTCTTCCATAGCTTCGTTAACAAGTGATTCGCCTTTATTTTCATATGGTTGCGGAATAAAGTAATACAAACCATCATCTAACTGTTTACAAACAACAAGAACTTCAGGATGGAGCGAAGTGCGCATCATACAACTATCTTTTTCTGTTAACTCTTCGACCCCCTCACCATCTGTCCAAACTGCAAGCAGGCCAACGCGAAACTCGGAGATTTCAATTTGAAATAACTTCTGAAATACAAAATAATTCGAAAATAATAACTTATAAACAAATACAAAAAAATTACAAACTACTACTTCAACAGTAGGGTGGTGTATATTTTGTACACATCTCTTAACACTGGTGATTATAAAAATGACAATTTCATCAGAAGACGAAACAACATGCAATAATTTGTACAATTTAAATGGATATACATACATAAACCCACAAGTATCAATAAAAACAGTTGAACAAGTCTGACAAAAACTACAACCATGTTCAGCTACTACAGATGCTGAGAAAAGTCGTCATTATGTGAAACATTACCATGAAATTAAAATGGTTATTTCGGGCTAAGATTCATTTCGAAAAGTTGAAGGAATTATGCATCAGTTCGAAATCAGAGTCAATGGAGGTGCTGAAACAGTTTCCTTTTTAGTTGCCAAAACAATAAAACATTGTATTGAAAATTGAACCTACCCAAGTCGCAATTACTAATATACATAATGTCGTTATCGTACGGTCATCACTTTATTTTCGGAAAGATGTCGATCCGTTTCAAGAAACATACTAGATTCACTAAAATACATACGAATAAATCAATGTATTTATAGATTCAATTATTCTTCATAATAGATACCGAGTTTGTTTCGACAGGTGGTTGAGTAGTTTTTAGATCAACATGCGGGAAAATTAAGTCCTTCTATGGTGTGTGTAGTAGTATGTATGTATGTATCACCAATCGAAAGTGGAGTGCCTAACGGCAGAAGATTGAGAAAATCGAAGAGGACGAGAACAGAGAGTGATCGTTATGGAAGCGAAAGAACAAAAAAGTCTGAGACAATTGATGGGTATTTTGCAAATGAAGTATTTATTGTATGGTTCCCAGATTTTATAAAGATATTCTGTAATGTTGTATTAAAAGACATTCGGTTGTCCCCACTTGTGTTCTCGTTCACTACATTACTACAACGCCATTAAGCCGATGTCGAGAAAGATGTTGAGGTATGCAGTCTTTTGAAAATCATATCTCTAGGCGAAAAAATGTTTCCGGAATAGACAACGAAAAAGTGAGATCATTTTAGAATCGAAAGTGAAAACTGGGTATCGTTATCTTTTATAACTAAATCTGATTTGATTAGACGAGACTCAAGTAGCTGAGTATGCACCATTTTGCCACCTTGAATTTAAGCACAGTAATCGTAAATATCAGTAATGTTCTAGAAAGATTTGTTACTGACCATTTACTTGGGAAGACTAGTTTTAAGGAAATACTTAAAATTTCATTAACTGCACAATATACTACCACAATCATATTCAATTCGATCTTATTATCAATAAATTAATTGAAGTGACCATAAACCAGCAAAAACTAATGTTACAAACGTCACATTTTAGTGGAGACCAAGTAAATCAGCTTATAAATGACTGTCACCAATAAAACAAATCAGCATAGACAATAACATACAAAGTAGCTTCCTAGTAATTCGGTAGACAAATCTATACAGTTGTCAATACGATCCTAATGCTTCAAGCACGCTTTCCTTCGTGGTTCTCTTACCTTTTAGTCACGCTACCACCAGCACTTACACAGCGACCCGTTCGCATGAACTCTTCAACTACTTCTAACTGGTAACTACCAAAAGTAAGATCAGGAACAGGCTTCTGTTAGTCTTGTAAAACTACTTCGCATTTAGAAAGTAGAAAGTACACTCCATATCTGCGAACACTGATTGTCGACTGACTAAGCGGAAATTACATTGTTTGAGTAAAATCACACAGTAAGACAATATCATCCTTATACTCAAGGTCGAGAAGTCTTTCTCCAGGTAACAGATCTACACCACCATTGCCTACATCCACCAGAGCTGTTTGCAGAACGTCATAGATATCAAAGTTGGAGAGAAATGGTGAGGTTGAGGAACCCTGCCCAACCCCACTGCTTGAATGGAACAATTCAGTCAATTCCTTAGTTAAAAAGTCGCCAAAATATCTTTAAGAGGCGCAGGAATTCATCTGAGTCTGGTGATTAGTGGTTCTTCGGAAGTTGGAGCTTCTTGCAGACTTCTGCCTCGTCAGGTGGATCAGTCTTCATTGGCCATTTAGTGAAGGACAGTCTAAGCGATGTCATCGGGACATCAGAGCGGTTGAATTTCTTCACGAAAAACTTTGTCCATCGTCCGATACGTCGATAGATGTCAGTGATTGGTATCCCATCATCCTCAGATTGTTTGACTGACTCGGATGAACTGAAAGAGCTTCTGACAGTTACCAGATGCAGCTGCTGCTTCTAACTCATTGACACGCTTCGACCACCAGGTTTCTCGGTTCTCGCCCAGGCTTTGATCAATTTTGTTATGTAACAGTCTATGTTTGTGGTCAAACTCGCGATCACCCGGAGTAGACCAATGGGCTTCAATGAGTTGTAAGAAGCCTGAAGAAACGCAGTGCTCATAAGTGATACGTTTCGCGAAGCCGCAAGCGACTTCACTCACCATTTTCATGGTGTCATGCAATAGCTGCCAATGCTCATCGGTATGTTTTGATGGGCTGACAAGTAGCCTTGAACCTAGCTCGGTTTGATATTTAGTTGAAGTAGAAGCTGCAACTAATTTGCTGACATCGACCCTTTCGGGACGATGAATTTTTTGGCTACTGAAACTTAAAGTTCGCGCAAACACGACAATGATCAGATTCCAGATAGGTGCTCCAAAAGGAATGGCAGTCTCGTATACAACCATGTCAGCGGTAGCTGATCGCTGTGTAATCACTAAGTTCAGGTAGGTTTGAGATGCAAAAGGAGGATGCCAGGTAGCACATCGGCGATGACTGTAACAGTAGGTAGTGTTAGCCAAAGTTAGGTTGTACTCTGCGCAAAGTCGCAGTAGACGGTCGCCGTTATTTAACCTGCGACCAACAAGTCCCCATTGGTCACCAAAATGACTCTCCTCTATGCCTAGACGCCAGATATGTGGATTCAAGTCTCCGATTAGTACTACAATACCTATTTGATACACATTTTAGAACAGGTAACTGGTAATAAAACGCATCCGGGTCTTAGCATAGTCAGTCAGTCAGTCAGCTACAACGTAGGACCAGGCACATATGTGCATCGGTCCAGGTTGCCATACCGCATCAGCACAACAAGATGAACACCGGACTCATGAAAGTAGTTAATTCAGAGGTGGTTATAAATAAAAGAAAGATTGCATATAAGGATATAGTACAAGAAGAAAAAATTGGTTCGTAGAAAGAAAGATATGAAGCGATTTTAATCTCTTAGTTTAAGGGAAGACAGAGAGTGTATACACCGACGCCATTGTGATCGATTCTGAGCCATTTCACCAAGTCTCCAACCATCGGTTACGATAGTCACGCGGACCCCAACCAAGTAGTCTGCATCTACCAACATGGCTCAGACTAGAAGTTAGTGACTTCAAGCACTGATGCCACGTTTTGGTTTGGCCGCCCCTAACTTTCTTCCAACCATCTCGAATACCGGATTGCATTGCACGTCGTGGTAATCAGTGTTCAGGCATACGTAACACGTGGCCCAACCATCTCAGTCGATGAAGATTCATAACCTCATCAACTGATTTACCATCATTCCCTAATACCCTGCGTTTAACCTCACTATTACTTACCCGGTGATCCCAGCAGACGCCAGCAATATTTCTAAGGCATCTGTGGTCTTAGCATAGGCGGAGATAACAAAAAGACATCGTATCTCACACCGATTTCTTCGCACTTTGATGGGAATTTTTAACTTAATAATATATAACCGATTGTTAATAGGCATCCAATCGATAAGTACTGCCTCAACTTTAACGCTGAGTGCAACATAAACGTCAACACACCAGAGGAAGATGCCACAAGGTGCTCGGATAAACGCACGTGAAACCAGCTTTTCGAAGAGACAGATGGAGAGCGAATTTGTAGTACTTCACTAGAGTCTTAAGTATGAATCTCGGATAGACAACAGATATCTATGTTGAGACTATCTAAAGACAGCCAACCTTATATGTCATCCGATCTGCATTAGTATGCGAACGCTGAAGGAGACCAGTTAGAATGACATACGTGGTTTTTGAAACACTGGTTCCGTGCTTGTAGTCGGTGACAGCATTCAACATCCAACCAGTTAGTGACTTGAGATCGTTCTTTAACTCCTCTAAGTGGATACTCCGTACCCAAAAACTCGGTTAAAGTGCCGAAACATTAGCTTTTCGTCCTCCCAATATCGTTATACACTGTCAGTGCGAGAAGGCAGTGAGTATACATGAGACCGTCGAAGAGCATTTCAAGTCTGTTGATTATTTTACTGCATGAAATCCTGTACAACTGAAACTACAAGTTCAACCTCAAACTAAATGGTAACGATGTGAAGCATTTGAAATATTTTAAAAACTAGTATTAGGTGACCATACTTAATACAAAAGCTAAAAAAATGTGAACGACAAAGAACCTGTTGAAGAAAGTAAGTTTTATTGTAATTTACAAACATCGAACATATTAGAAGAACTATTTAGTTTGAAAAGAAAAATATAGGTCTATGGTGCAAAATCAAATTAACTTAGTACTACGCTAAATGTACTTATTGAGTATTACTGACAACCAAAATGATTAGTATAAATCATTGTAGAGTTTATGGAGTGAAACCTATCGGTGAATGTATTTGTAAGTTTGACAAAATAACCGAAAGTTGTTGAACAAGAATATTAGTGTGCGATATCTGACGAATTTATTTTGTTATTTGGAAAAGTTCCGAATGAATATTGTGGAGCTGTATAAACACAACCGTTACTTACTAGAATACGACACTGTTCAGGTGAAAGTACATCCCCTCTGCGGCACACAAGATACTCTCTCTCCAAATGAACAACACCTTTGACTAGTTTAACAGGCATTCCTAACTGGCGCAAAACAGGCTCCATAGAGTGAGGAAATTTGGGCAACGGACCAGATGCAATCCAGACCTGAAAATAGACAGAATGTACACGAAGAAAATCTTGAGCAATCAGATGTACTAAATTGCATTCATAGTTTAGGGATCAACAGCGAATATCCAAATACACTACACTTCGTCAAATGTTGAGTATAAATTGCCTGTGATTATTTCATAACGGAGAATAACCCATCAATACTATTGTGGAGTGTGCTACTTATATTGACATAAGTAGTATATGTTAGTCGTGAACAGAATGTGTGGTAGCAGACAAGAGGACCGAACAGTAAAGAATAGAAACAGAATGCAATTTCTGTGAAAATGCAGGAACAATGAAGTCTGAGTCATTTTGAAACAACTGATGGACATTTTGCAAATTTAGTATTTACTATATGATTGTTAGTTATTAACAAGTCCTGTAATTTTGTGCCAAATACATTAGATTGTCCCAACTTGTGTTCTGTTCACTACACTATCACGTAAACTTACGAACGGCTTATTTTAGCTAGGAATGAACATTGGTCCTTAAATCATAGTAAGTAATCTCTGGTATTTTCGATAGAAAATAAATCGGTAACCGAAAAGAACAAAAATAGGGCAAAACTGTCTGAAGCACAACACATAAGATTTTATTCTGAATACGCTTAGAATTATTATTTTAGAAGCGATTTCGGAGAAGTCACTCAAGTTTTTCTCCATCAAGTTTAGATTTACGTGGGCAAAATATAACTGAACCAACATGAGATCATAATCCAAACCAATCGTTTCCAAAAAACAGCTATCTTTATCTAATTCTTGGAAGTCATTAACAAAGTTATCTACCGTTATAAACAGTTATAGTGGTCCTCGGAATACCTTAGCCTTCGAATTTTACAGTAGTATGAACTAGAACACAGTAAGTTAGTTTTCAAACAAGCGGTCATTATAAAATATCCCCACCGTCTCTTTGATTTCAGCAATCACCTATCAAAGTAATCTAGTACAAACACGCTCATGAATTTTACTTCCATAAAATAAACGAACCAATGCAATCACTTTATTGCAGTTAACGGAGACAGAAAGATAACAGTGAAAGAAGACAAATGCAACATTATTTACAAAAGAAGTCGTATCAACTACGATAAAGACCATATAGGACAATGTGGGTGTCTCGTTTACCTGCCCATATATAAGCACAGATTAGGAGTGGGGCGAAATATTATATGATCACCTACAGCAATACATGTGAGTAACAATAGACGTATATCCATTTGGGGAACTTCAAGAATCCCAGAGAATTTTTAGGAGCATGGAGTTAAGCCCAATTGGTAATCAAAAGAAACACCAACGTACGACAAACCAACCCATATGGACATGATCAGTCAATCAAAAGCTCAGAATTCGACCAAAAAGACAGTCAACAAGCGCGCAAGAACAAATGGAGGCAACCAACCTACGACAACTATTCACAAATAAAGCTGAACTGATATAACACATGGTACATGGGAGTAGAAGACATGTGAAAGCTGAATGTTCCTGATCATAATTGTCTTTGAAATATTGTTCAGGTTTCGTGGAACGACCGAGTGAGAAATAATGAGGTCAAGGATATCGTACTTGGCAAAGGTTGGGAATCGGTTGAAGTTGTAAATGTTCATCGACTGAAATGGTTGAAGCATGAATTACGTAGGCCTGGCTACAGTCTACCTTGATAAGTGATGCTTACTAGTTCAGAAGTAGGTTGGAAGAAAGCTAGGAGGGAACAAATCAAAACGCTGTATCGATCTATTAAGTTATTAACCGTCGGTTTGAGCCGTATTGACCAATCTAGGCTACCTAGTTGAGGTCTGAGCGATAAAGACCACCAATATTGGTTGGAGACGTTAAGTGATACAGCTCAGAATCGTTCACATCGGCGCAGATGAGTTCATTATTTATCTTCCTCTCGATCTGTTTCTTGCATACATACGTTTTCATAGTCTTTTCGGACTAAATTTCAAAGGTTTAGTCTTTTCCTCTTAATTGATAACACATTACTTTGATTTCTTGTGTTACTCTCATCTTGTCGTGCTAACCCGGAGTGAGGATTTGGGCCGTTACATATCTGTGCTAGACTCCATGTTGGTATTTGTCTGTTTGATATAATACTTGTGAAATAACTCAGTTACAATGTAGGATCAGGCATATATATGCACTGGTCCGAGTTGTCATACCTCATTAGCATAAGATGAACACCGAATACATAGAAGTAGTTAATTCAATGGTGGTAATATATAAAAGGAAGATTGTATATAAATATATGGTACAGGAAGAAAGAATTAGTTAGTAGAAAGAATAACTCAAAAGCCCATTCCAATCCTTAACTAGGGCTTGTGAACAACAAACCTGAGAAAACAAGACTAGTTTTAGATCTGGATATGGGAATGGCGATCAAATACCTAGCCATCGTCGTGTCATAGAACCGAGGTGTGCATACCTATATCTGACTATAGTTGTATTTCTTGACGTTAAGGGAGTATTCGACGTTTTTGGTCATGTTTTACGAGTGTTTGTCACTGAAAGGAGTACCAAAGAAATGAACCAACCTTGTACAAACTCTCTGCAACTGACAGAACTAGAGCTTATGGAGAACCACAATCACAATTGCCGGCTTTAAGGTGTCGATAAGGGTTTCGCAATTTTTCAATTTTTATTTAACTTCAGAACTTTTTAGAGACAATGCATTCGACCTCTGCCTGGTCTAGGATTTAACTTCTACCAAAGGATTCACTGATTATTCAAATGACATAGTAATCTGTCGACGACGCTAACAAAATACACTCTCCTAACGACCTTAATCAACAATCCAGGTACATTTAGAATGGGAGTTTCTCTCTTAAAGTGCGGAATTTTGCTTTAGGACTGGCCTACACCAATGAGTGAGTTAATGATAGGGAATGAAGCAGTTGAGTGTGCTGACCGCTTCACACATCTTGAGAGTCTTTATTAGCCCTGACGTACTGGTATCTGACGTAATTTCAACACAGATTCAGTAGGTACGGTCGGCGTTTGCCGACTTATTTCATCTGTATAGTAGACACGATTTCTATCTTCCAACAAGAGGATGACTATACTATACTATACTCATTTTATGACTGTGATAAGGCCATTAGTAATAAAGTGTTCGTAAACCACTGGTTTTTGATCATAGCTTTTTCCAAAGAATTATGCATTGTTAGCGCCGAACGAGAAATGAGATTATACGCGCAGTACGGGGTAAAGACGGTAGATTAGTTGCTGAAATAGTGAATATTCATCAACTGAAGTGGTTGGGACATGTTCTACTTACGTATAATCACCACCTGACACATAATATTTACTGGTGTATGAGCAGATTGGAAAGAAACTAGGGTCAGACAAACCAAAACAAGACACCAGTCTACGGAGTCACTGGCAAGTGGACTGAACCATATTAATGAGCACAGATCACTTATCTGGGGTCCGCGCTAATTATAGACGGGTAATATGACTCAGTAGTGGTGTTGTGAGTGCTAGTGGTGGAGTAACATAAAACCACCACATGTATAACGAAAATCAAAGAGGAATATGGGGATCTGGGTCATCCATGGTGATTTTAATGCTGGCCAGGCATTAAGAATTCTGGTTGAAAACACATTGGTGAGAGGAGCATTGCTCTATAGTTATGAAACTTGGCCTCCGAGTCGAAGATCGATGACTTTCTTTGTTTATTCATTTTTATTACGGAGGAATTGTTGACTTACGTTGGTAGCAACATACAAGTAATTCTGAGGTTTGGCAATGAGTGCTTAGGAACGGTGAAGATAACCCAGTTGGTATCATCGTCTTGAAACACTGGCTTCAGTGACTCGAACATATGTTACGAATGTCATCTCAGTGGATTCCACTTCGTGCATTATTTGCAGACGTTGGAACTGGGTGGAAAAACTGGGGTTGGTAGGCTTGATATGAGACAGGGTAGAAAACTGTAATATATGGTCTGTCACGTGTTTAGGAACCTGGATAAGGACTACAGAATTGCACAAGCATAGGCCTCTAGAATAGATGACCAGGTGAATGAAGGTACTCTTACAATAATATTACATGTTCAGCTTCGTGAGAAAGTTAATCCTACTGAAATCATGGGAAGCAGACGGAAATTTAAGTGAATATGCTATTCTCACGAAACAACGAAAAGGAATATGCGAGATATTTCACTTATATGTAATCAGCTATTAAATAAATACGAAAAAGATGAGTGCGACTGACCTACACAAGTTATAAAATAAGTTTCTCGCCATCTTAATCCAAGAGAATAGTATTTCGGGCCGAAAACTAACTTCTTTAGATCATCTAAGTTATCGTTTTTGAGAAATTACCTCTTTGAACTTCTAACTACCATTACACTGTTATTCTTAGATGAGATTTGGTAGTGTTCAGATAGGCATGGAGCCCGAAGGGGCTGACAGTAGTTTTTTTCGTCACATGAGTTTATACATGATTGCCATCTTTGATATCCATCGTCTTATGAAACTGAAGATTCAGAAGACAGTTGAAAGCACGGTTTCGTGTACGATCTATTGAAAACATAAATGAGCGGTTTGGAGTCACCCTAGTAACAAGTAAGATCATAGTTATGACGGCACTCGATCGCTTAAATCAAATTATTTCAGCCCAGAAAGTAACCATTTTTTTTTCAACCAAGTTATGAAGTTTGTTAGGATTCGAAAGTTTAGAAAATATGTTAGTTAGACCACCTGGAACAGATCACCTTTAAGGGTCTGCCAGTCAAGCAAATGCCACCGATGATGTATATACGGGATAGTCTGCTCGAAATGACACCGCTTATTATGGAGCACCTAGATAACACTCACTCATTCAAAGTGACATTCTTGAACGACTCGATGAAATAACTTTAGAGAACGCAAAACATAACAGTGGAATAATGGAAATGACGACCCGAATTTCTCTGTAGAAATTTTTATGGGTCAACACTTCTTAGAACAGATTTCTTCATTTTAATGGACAAATACTTCAGCGGAATAAAATGGAGATTAACATTACCGATTAAGTCTTGAACCACAACCGTGGGTTACATCTAATTAGGTTTTTTAATTGCAGGGTCACATGATATATGGCATTACGAACTAGGTCAATAAAGAAATATTAAAACTCACAGTCTGCTCAGCAAGTACACCTGGTCTACTGTATTCTGACGACCGGAACGCATCAAGCTGCTCGCGTAATTCCGAAGGCGATGATCGTGAAAATAGGAGGGCACACTGTCCCTTAAGATATTTGGATAAAAGGTGCAATTTCGGTCGATAACTATCTTCATGAGTTTTACCCAACGCCAAAGTCGTCACCTTGTTGACACCAAATAGAAGCCTAAACAGTGTATCATATAAATCAGGAATAACTTGATTTTCACCATGCTTTTTCGTATTTCGGAAACTTTTTGGGTGCGAGGATTTTGCAGAGTCACTACATATACTCTTCCATATTCATCCAGATATTGACGAACCTTAAAGATGCATAAGATTACCACCGATTTACTACCTTTGCAATGTGCTCTTTTTTCTTTGGAGCATGTTTTAGAACCTGAGTAAGTTCGACTGAAAAGGACTGGATACAGAGAACGTCCTGAGCTTACCTTTCTTGTCACGCCTTGAAACAGGCATTTTGATCGGACCGCCTTTGTCGATGCTCAGTTTTTTTACTCAGAAGTCAGATTCAGATTTTTTATTTGTGTAGTAAGGACAGAAGGCCTACGGCCTATGATATTCTTTTTAGTATGCTTCTGTGAATGAGCTGCACACACCACTGATTCAAGTAACAGGTTCCTAGAATTAACGACTCGTTGTAAAAACCTGTATGCCATGGATATTTTGTTCGCTCTTGCATTTTATATTCGCTTGTGATGTCCCCTGATATGCCTCGATCTAGTGGAAAGGAAAAGAGAGGATATATTCGTTCCGAAATCATTTCTTAGCACTGTAGTAGTAAATAAATCCCTAAAATAAATAGCTCTGTAAGTCTTCGACATTGGATGCTGACCACATAATAGTTTTGATGGACTCACCTAGCTAAAGGCGCTCGGTCATGCATCTGTAGTAGATCACGAGTGGTAATGCCGTGCTCAACTTAACATACAATCGTTAGCCAGTTTATCCCAATCGATTCTCAATATATTGATAGCCTATAAAATATATCTTCGAACCTCCTCGTTTCTGACTCTTGATTTCACTAGGTGGGAACGATTCATAATGGAAGGTATTACTGGTTAAAGCATTGTCATGCTCCAAATATCTGTGGCATCTTCAGTATTCTATACATCAAAATCAGATTACCTCTTAATTTGTGATAGAACAGAGTAAATATGTCTAGGTTTTCAGGTCGTTCTTTGCATCGTAAACCATAGAGTTTTAGAGGTGCATGAGTAGCTGCCCTCTGTACTTTTTCTAGGATATCCGAGTCACATTTAAAACATGGGCTTGCAGATTGTACGCAGTTTTCAATCTTAGTTCTCACTAAGACTTTGTATACTGTAGGGAACATGGTAGTATCTAGTTTGATGGGTGTGCGTCTTAGAGCCAATAGGGTTCTAAACCCCTTGGCCTCCCGGCAGTAGGCCGTGATCCACTGATCGCCCATTGTTCAGAGACTATATCCATTGCTCCCTTACTGTAATGAGGTTTGCTCTGCAAGACAAACCTTTTCTGAAAGCATGTTGTTTACTGTTTCACAATTTGGTGATTCCCACGAATGTCATTATGGCTTTTTGACTATTCCAGCGTTCTAATTATGACGATGGTGAGGCTGAAAAGTCTGTAGTTTGATGAAAGTTGTCTTGGTCCTGTTTTATGTAGTGGAGTGACGATTGCATCCTTCCAGTCCGTAGGTAACACACTTTGGTCAAGTGACATTAAATATCACAGTTGGTGGGGCCGCAATATATTGTGAAATTCGTCTCACGATTTTGGGGTGAAGTTCATCTATCCTTTTGACTTTTTCGCGTCTAAGATTCTAAGAGCCTTAAGTATATCGTCTTGATCAAAGTCCACAGTGAACAGACGGTTTGTTGACTTTGTATTAGGATCTAGTTCTTCGTTTACAAGAGGCTGCTGCGGCGAAAATGCCCCGAAATAGTTTGTCATAGACTCTTCTTTTTTATGATCATCCTATATAATTTCTGGCCCACTCTCTTAATAAGGTTGGGAATCCAATGCTGCATCCCTGTTCTATGACAGACAGTTAAAAAATCTACCAAACATCATGAAGTCTAGGATGAAAAACCCAGAATAATCAGTTGCGTGTCATGAAATGGCTCATAAAAATGTAATCACGCTATGTTCCGACAGTCTGTTCTAACTAATTCACTTCTCCAACAAAACCATGTTTGTTATGTGCGGTCATTTCGTTTGTCGCAAGACTGGGATACTGCGAAGGTAATCCACGTTAGGCAATAATCACACAGAATGACCTCGATATAAGCTAAGAGGCAAAGCCATTCCCATGCAATCCGAATAGACCTTGTGTGGTGTTTACATGAACTAATGACTCTTTTGTACTCGATTTGTGCTTGATTTTGAATTCCAAATACAGTACGTTCGTTTGTGCTCACCTTGTTCTTTTTGGTCGCAATTGCACTATTTTAGGGATTCCTGGTTCTTACAATAATTCAAGTACTCCTACTTATCACACCTTAATCATCGACACAAACTATTTACATTGGTGAACCATATATAATATATCATTCGAATCATTTCAACAGTCCAGTGATGGAAAAAGCATATGTGGAAGATTTTTAGCGCAATTTGGATGTTATGTCGTAACATTCACGGTATGTATGCATAATATTGCAGTTCTAAGCCACGTTACAATTATCTTGTCCAAAAATATCACATGTTACATTTAGTTAAGGATGTTGCGTACAATTTGAATCTAGTTGTTTAAGATTAGATGGGGACTTAATTTAACTTTTAACTGTCTAGCAATTTAAGATGTGGTACATAAACCTGTTCACAGAGGGCATGCGGAGATGATATTAGTTAACTTGTAGCGTAGTGTCGAGTCCCGGTTGACTATGAACACCACTACAAAAGAACGCGTGTCAGGATATCCAGAAAATCCCCCGGAAGCCAAATATCAGAAGGCAGTTAATGGACCAATTCGAGATATATTTGCTGGCGATCTCGTGGTACCGAAAGAATACCGAGATCGTGCCAGGATACAAGCTTGGTTACTGAGCGTAACCGGATTCGCGCGAGGTCACAATCGAAGCAAGTAAAATGGATGTTTTCTTAGCACAGTTAAACAAAAAGCACATTAAAACAGTCACTGGTACAATTGGTTATAGTAATAATTGTTTTCACTAAACAAATCGTGTTCTCGTGGTAAAAGGAAGTCACTACAAGGGCCCCCCGCTAGAAAGGGCTTACACTTTCGATAAGTAGCGGTTTCATTCGTAGGACTGATCGGCTGACGAGCGACTGTGAGACGGAAGAATTGGCGGAACAGGAAACGATCGTTGATCGTCGAGTTGCCAACGAAGGTCTTTTTCGGAGAACGGTACCGGGAGAGCTGTGCTGTATTTGTTGCTCGAGTTGGCATACCACACCAGAGTGGTTTGTATCCAGAATCTGAAGATTGCGTTCGTAGGGATGCGGACCAGAAACGCTGCAGACCTAGGACGAAACCACGTTGAGCCAAGAAACCAGAAGCGACCATAACGACCAAGTTTGAGACCAAATATATGCCAAACACTCGGAACCAAAATATCGACTGAGTGCGTTGACAAGAGTGTGGGTGGTCAGTCCAGGTTTCACCAAAGTTGACTGAAGTCGACGGTACCAAACTGGGATGGTCGGAGGCGTGAGCTCAGGATACAGAAAAAAATAAAAAAGAAGAGTGTAGCACGCATGTAGTATGGAAATAGTCTTACACCGTATTGGTTGTTGACTGTGCGGCTAGTCGCGGAAATGTACGGGCAGCCGTACTCGGCGATCGGAACGTGAGACGGTAGCCTCGTTCTTGTCGTGTGAGCATGCAATCTCATCCGAAGCCAAGGACAGCGTGGTCTGCTGATCTGGACGTGAGACTAAAGTCTCGTCCGCAGATGGTGCAGACGATGCGTGCTGTTGACCGGGACGTGAGAATGAGGTCTCAAGTGTATCTAGCGTGGGATCTGAAGATGGTTTGAGGATCCCGCTAGTAGGTTTGAGAGGTCTAGCATTGAATCTCAGGTTATCAGATAGGGCACTGCCATCGACGTGTGCTGGTTTGAGACGATCAATGGCGACGATCTCGACGCGGCCATCTCGATCAACCTTGTAGGTCTTTTCGTGACGAGCGATCAAGTGAAAAGGGCCTTCGTAAGGTTGTTGCAAAGGTTTGCGTACCGAATCTACTCGTATGAAAACATGTGAACGGGTAGATAACTCTCGAGGGAGAGCGACCTGTCGATGTTGTATTCGAGTTGAGAACGGAGGTAGCGCTCGCATAAATGCAGACAGTCGTTGGACGTAGTCTGATTTACCAAAATCATGTCTGCTCCGTGGTGTGAAGAATCCCCCAGGCAGACGCAATGTCGTGCCGTATACAAGTTCAGCGGCGGAACATTGGATATCTGCCTTCAAGCTCGTTCTGATGCCTAAGAGGACGAGCGTTCCGTACCAAGCAGCCGGGTCAGCGAGAAGAATAGTTAATAGGGGAAGATTTCTTGAATAAAGCGTGGAATTTACCGTCACGTGAATAAAAAAAGCCAAGGATTCGGTACACGTACATGGGAGTCTATTATATTAATACTACTCTAGGCGCTATCCGTCATATCGAGTACATTATATATTAAAAAATAATGTGAAAATATACGACAGACGTGGATAGATAAATCATAGACTCACCGAATTGGCTTCTTTGGAAGATTTGACCAGAGATTGCGGCGTGTTCCAGAATTCGACTCACCAGTTGTTGTGTGGCGTCGAGTCCCGGTTGACTATGAACACCACTACAAAGGAACGCGTGTCAGGATATCCAGAAAATCCCCCGGAAGCCGAACATCAGAAGGCAGTTAATGGACCAATTCGAGATATATTTGCTGGCGATTAGCTATTCTACTAAGTCAACCTATAACATGCTAACTCGGACTTTTACACTAGGTTTGTGTGGCTGGCATCGGATAAACAAAAAAGGAAAAAAAGATAGACAGCAAAAGATATAGTCATTAGTATTCACAACACTTCACCCTCTATATACACACCCTTCTAATAAATCGCTTTCCTTGTACCAGCCTTGACTTTCTTTCCTTCATGTGAGCTTACTACAACTCGTTAAACGACACAACTCATTGTTCTTTATTACTACTTTCTCTAATATGGAGCCCCTGACTTCATTTCACTCTAACAAGATATAATATGAATTTATTCTAATTTATTATACTTCTGTCCTTTCTACTACACAATGTTAAGCAACGTTTGGCGTTCATATCCAAGTGCCTTTCTGCTCTTCTGTTTCTCTTTTTTTTCTTCCTCAGAAATTTGCTCTGAGGGCACAGCTATGAAACTTCTGACGTTTGGAACAAACTTGACGTACGTGTCTCCTCAAGGTCACGGTTTACAGCAAGCGCCTAAAGAGTATACTTTATAACAACTATAAACTTAATAAGTTGCGAAGCATTTTGTGAACCAACAAGTGTTGTAATTTATAGAGCATACCTGTA